CCGCCCGCAGTCACCCAGGCTGCGTGGTTTCTGGCCGGGAAGGGGCCGGGGACAGACACACCGAGTGCTGTTTTCTGACAACACAGCTTTCCTGTTCGACTTCGGAGACACCAGGAGGCCCGAGAACGTGGGGGCCCTGCTCGGACCCTCGGGATGGAGGGAGCGTGAGTGGGACCAGGGAAAGCTCCCCCTGACCCGTGCACGCCCCGCAGCATCGGTTAGGCGAGGGGAGGGAGGAGGGAGACCGGCATTTTGACGGGACAATGTTACAGCCAACTCCACACCCGCCAGGGGACAGCCCTGCGGGTAAGTGTGGAGGGGGAACCGGGAATTACCGTCTCGGACAGGATCACGGCCTCAGACCCCTGCGGGGCCGCGTCCACGGGCCTCAGCTCCTTGTCGAATATCTCCTGGTGTTTGCTGTTCCGCTTCTCCTTCTTCTTGTCCTTCTTGTCCTTGTCGGGGTCGTCCTTGTCCAGCTTGTCCTGCGACCGGGAGTGCATCTTCTTGGGCAGCAGGGGCTCCAGGGCGAACCTGGAGGAGAGGGCTGTTAGGCCCCGGGCCTCTCCATTGGCCAGCGGCTGCTGTCGCCCCAGATGTGGGGGGCGCAGTCCCTCCCGGGAAACCTAAGAGCTGCCTGGGAACCTCGACTTTTACAGGAAAGGGGGGGCTGCAAAGGGAGGCGGAGGGAGGCGAGGCGTGTGTTAACCGATCGCAACAGATGGACTGCGTTTGCACCTCAGCAACAACAAACTGGAGGAAAACCCGCAGCTGCAGGATGATGGGGGATGGAGTCTGACGCTATGAGGGATTTCTGTCGATCTGCGAGGGGAGGGGGCACTTGAGTCTATTCCAAAGGCGAGCCCTTACCTTTTATTTATTTCATATATGTCATATATATATTATATATATTGATTTCAGAGAGGAAGGGGGAGAGAGAGACAGAGACAGAGAGAGACAGAGAGGCAGAGAGAAACATCAATGATGAGAGAGAATCATTGATTGGCTGCCTCCTGCACACCCCACACTAGGGATGGAACCCAAAACTGGGCATGTGCCCTGACCAGCAATCCAACCGTGACCTCCTGGTTCATAGGTCGATGCTCAACCACCTCATAGGTCGATGCTCAACCACCGAGCCACGCCAGCTGGGCGAGCCCTCGGCTTTTAGCGATTAGGACCGGAATATCCATGCGCAGTGGGAGGGAGCAGGCGGGTGCAAAGGTCGCAGAGGAAGGTCGCCTCCATCTGAAAGCCTGTGCTGAGGGCCCAGCTGGCAGGTCCCAGGTGCGCTCAGGTGTTCAGCCCAGAGCTGAGCTGCAGACAGAGGACCCGGGTCCCAGCTCGGCCACGGCGGTTGGATGTCCTCAGTTACAGGGAAGGGAGGACACCACACCTTTCTGCTCAGTGACACCAGCCAGACGGTGGGAGAGCGTGGCAGGGACACCCTGTCAAGTACATGGTCTTGGGTAGCTTCTCAGGCACGTGGCCACACCGAGCACGCACACGCGCCTGCACACAGTCGCCATCTGCTATTGTAATGTACGACTTGGCGGGAGAGGGGGGGGGCCATCCTGTCCCTGCCCCACGCAGTCACATCAGAGAGGGAAGGAATGGTCCCGGGAGACGGGAACCTCACTCCCTGAGGCAGGAAGGCGGAAGGAGACAGGCCAAGGTGTGCGCAGGGCGGGCACGGCCCTACAACCTCTCAGCGCTAACGCCCACGAAAGGCGTCCTTGTTATCAGCACCTCATGTTTCTGAAAACATGGCGCATGAAAACGGTTTCACAAGAGATGGGGTCTCCTACACGGCCTCGCCGTCCGCAGGCACAGAGGAGAGTGGTCTGCACTGTGATTTCTGAGAAATGTCACCTGTGGGTGACACGTCGCTGCCACACGATTGAAAGAAACCCACTCCGAAGCCAGCAGCGTTCACAGAGCTCCCTGACCGGTGCCCAGCAGACCCCGAGCCCGGCGGGCTCCCTGCAATGTTCTGTCCCCTTGGTGTATGACTGACCTTTTCCATAATAAAAACTTAGAGATGACTGAGGAACTCACCAGTGCAGCTTTCCACCACCGAGGCATGTGGGACACCCAGACTTTCCCCTGGATCGCATTCACCAATAAACCCACATTGATTATGTTACATGGTGTGTCCGTTATATTATCAGCAATAATCAACATGTTCATAATCGTCTTCTAGGTTTTGCAGAACTGGAGACAACTAATGTAGGAAGGAAGGTTTTAGTGGACACTGTCCGTGCAGCTTTCCACCACCGAGGCATGTGGGACACCCAGACTTTCCCCTGGATCGCATTCACCAATAAACCCACATTGATTATGTTACATGGTGTGTCCGTTATATTATCAGCAATAATCAACATGTTCATAATCGTCTTCTAGGTTTTGCAGAACTGGAGACAACTAATGTAGGAAGGAAGGTTTTAGTGGACGCTGTCCACTTAGAGCAGTGGTTCTCAACCTTCCTAAGGCTGCAACCCTTTAATACAGTGCCTCATGTTGTGGTGACCCCCAACCATAAAATTATTTTCGTTGCTACTTCATAACTGTAATGTTGCTACTGTTATGAGTCGTCATGTAAATATCTGATAGGCAGGATGTATTTTCGTTGTTACAAATTGAACATCATTAAAGCATAGTGATTAATCACGAAAACAATATGTAATTATATATGTGTTTTCCGATGGTCTTAGGCGACCCCTGTGAAAGGGTCGTTCGACCCCCAAAGGGGTTGCAACCCACAGGTTGAGAACCGCTGGCCTAGAGGAAGCCATGTGCTGGGAAGGACAGGCATCTCTACAAAGAACCAAGAGAGGGGCAGGCCGAGGGCTACATTTTTCACCGGGAGAAGCAACTGCCGACAGGGCGCACTGTGTTCTGCAGGTAGCCTGTGCCATGTGAGCCCAAAGCCCCACTTCCTCCCCATCAGTCACCTCGCTAAGGGAGGAAACGCTGAGAATGAACAAAAACCTGGCCTCTATCCAAGATGCCTCCAGTTCAAGGTTAAACCACGGCTCCCAGGGAGAAGGCCGGGCCTGCCCGCGCTCGTGCCTTCACAGGTGCAACACCCCACACTTCTGATCCAAACCTGCAGAGCCACGGCACCCGCACCCACACCTTCCTGGGAACAGGAACCCTTTCCATGCCTAGCCCGGGGGTTTTCTGGGGGAGCCGCCGAATTAAATTTCTCTAGCAATCTTGTCGCAGGGACAAGCACACATGATTTAAATACCTCCAAATTGAGACTTTGCACACGGACTTGGCCTTAAAAATAGCAGACGCTGATAAAACTTGCTGTTAAGGAAAAAAAGAAGTGGGTACAGTTTTCAGTTCCCCATCGGGCACACCAGTCGCTGGCGAGAAGGGGCACTCGGAGTTGAGTGTCCCCAGGGCGCTCGGGAACGTCCTGTCTGCCTGTTGCCGGGGCCGGAGCCTGCAGGCTGGCAGGGTGATGGAGTGGCAACCGGACGGGGTTGGACAAGCACACAACTGTGCAAACTCCACAATAAAACCGCTGGAAGCCCTTCGCGGATGCTTAAATTGCAACACTGTTTCTTGTTGTATAATAAGAACAAAGTTTAGATGTTTGCTACTCAAAAGCGCAAAAAGTATCAACATGAAGGTTCTCTTTGAACAATGAGGTAATGGGGGTGGGGGAGAGGGAGAGAGAGAGAGAGAGAGAGAGAGAGAGAGAGAGAGAGAGAGGAGGCTCGGCAAGGGCTCAACTGTTCACTAGCCTATTAGGTCCTTGTTCCCTTCCTGGCGGCTCTGTGCTCTGATGCTCAAGAGCAAATCTGGCTCCCAGAGGTCTCGCAGGTGAGGCGGCTCTCAAGGAAGCCGAGCAACAGGTGTGACACTGGAGGTGAGCAGAGGGGGAGGGTCCATGCGCACCTGGCCAGGGGCGCACCATGCTGTCTCCCGGACATGCTGAGCCGGACAGAAGGCTCATGGGAGGTGTTAACATTGGACGGAAACCTTTATACCCCAAGTGGTTCCCGAAGGGGGAATTTCTCTCTCACAAACTCACAAGACCCTGAAAGTCTCACTGGGAGCTCAGTTCGTAACGTCATAAAGGGTCTCAGTTTCAAAGACAGTTTTGATTTTTAAAATATCCTCAGTTGTGATCAAACCCACCCAGGGCCCCGGTGGCTCCTCCGCGCCCCTCCCGCTCTCTCCCTGTTGCTGAGCCCACTCACCCATCCGAGCCCGGCCTGGAGGGCGTGCTGTCCGATGACAGGGAGGAGACCGAGGCCACCGACAGGGGCCGGGACGAGGAGGGCATGGTGAAGGACCGCACCATGGACCGCGGGCGGCTGCCTCGCCGGTCATCCAGGCTGGAGGGCTGCAGGGGAGGGAGAGGGAGGGACGGAGAGAGAGGCTCGTTGGATGTTCGTACCAATGGACTTCCGGCCTGGCGGGGTCAGAGTCTTGGACCACGTTGTCTTAACAGCCTGGAATCTAGACCCAAATTGTCAACACTTCTATGTACAGCACATGTTCCCACTTGGAGTCAAAGATGAAAATGAGGATGATTTGGTTTTAGAAAATTTTAGATGCAGATTTATTTTTACTTTTTTTTTTTACCAAGACCACGATCCATCAGCCTCTTCCAAAGTCCTAGCAGGAAGCACTGACCAGAAAGCCTGGTTTACAGAGTAACATCTGGAACGAGATGAAAGAACCTGCAAGACCTTTGGATGAACTGGGTGCAACTCTGCATGTTGACAAAACGTGCCCATCAAGCACGTGTGACCCCTGGACTCCTGTTGACTGAACACGATGCCCCTGCTCTTAGTTAGGGGGCTCCTCGCCTGCGGTGCCAGGCACAGTCGGTTCGGGGCAGCCTCGCTGGGCCTGCCGCGAGGACTGGGGATGCATTTCATTCCCCAGAAACGTGGTCTCGGGACGGAGTTCTCCATCCTCTCTCGGATGTGTTTTTGTATGTCACCAAAAAAGGTGTCCCTGAAAGATACCACGTGTCAACCTCTAATCAGGAGAAAATACTCGTGCCTGCGCCCGAGCCAGCTGTTGGCACATCTGGGACCGCAGCAGCCGCCGAAGCTCCTTCCTTGGCCCGAGGACGTGGAACCCCACGCCTGTAGGGCACGTCCTCTCTGTGTGGCTTCAGCCGCCACCCCTCACCCCCACGCCGACCTGCCACGGATGACAGATTTATAACCACCACTTTCACATCTGAAAAGTGGGCCCGTGCCTTAAATGTGTGTTTTGCATACGAGTTACAATTTGATTGGCTCACTCTCTCTTTAATAAGAACAGGAACAAAACTGCAGGAGGGCCGTTTAGAGCAGGAGACGGGGTGCCTTTTCTGTGAAGTGCCAGACGGCCCGGCCAGTGGCTCCGTGGTTGAGGGTCAACCCATGAACCAGGAGGTCATGATTCCATTCCCGGTCAGGGCACATGCCTGGGTTTCGGGCTTGATCCCCAGGAGGGGGCGTGCAGGAGGCAGCCGATCGATGCTTATCTCTCATCATTGATGTTCCTAGCTCTCTCTCCCTCTCCCTTCCTCTCTCTAAAAACAATAAAAACATATAGAAAACATGTAAAGGGCCGGATCATTGGTACTTTCGGCTCGCAGGCCACACAGGCTCTGCACCTCTGCCCGGCTCCGCTGCTGTGGCATGAAAACAGCCACACACAACACAGAAAGAGCGGTTGTGACTGCTTGCCAATAAAACTTTATTTACAAAGGCAGGTGGCGGCCTCAGCCTGCCAACCACTGGCTCGGAGTGATATGCGGCTGGCGGCTGGCAGAGGGGGGTCTGCCCAGGCTTGGGCTTAGCACCAATCATAGGGCCAGTGCCACCAACTGGCCTCGATGAGAAAACTAAAGAGGCAACAGTGACTTGCAGCCCAGTCCAGGCTGTGAAAATGCTCCTCATACGAAACCTAGAGCTGACCCTGCAGTGTCCTCTCCCGGCCTCTGAAACGACCCAGGGCCGGCCTGCGAGGGTCCTGCGGCTGGGCCCGGAGCCTGGCTTGTGACCCTAGAACCTGAGGATCAGGACTGGACTTTTCCATCGGAAGCAGCGGTCTCCGCAGTCCTGACGGACAGGCCTCTGGGGCCAGGACGCGTGAGTGGACGCTGTCTGTCCCGCAGCAGGGCTGGCCGGGCCGTCGGAACCAGGCTGGCGCTGGGAGTTAGAATCAAGCTGGCCAGGCCATCAGAACCGGGCTGGCTAGGCCATTGGAACAGGCTGGCACCGGGAGTTAGAACCAGGCTGGCTGGGCTGTCAGAACCAGGCTGGCTGGGCTGTCGGAACCAGGCTGGCGCCAGGAGTTAGAACCAGGCTGGCACCGGGAGTTAGAACCAGGCTGGCTGGGCTGTCGGAACCAGGCTGGTGCCAGGAGTTAGAACCAGGCTGGCACCGGGAGTTAGAACCAGGCTGGCTGGCTGTCGGAACCAGGCTGGCTGGGCTGTCGGAACCAGGCTGGCTGGCTGTCGGAACCAGGCTGGCTGGGCTGTCGGAACCAGGCTGGCTGGCTGTCGGAACCAGGCTGGTGCTGGGTTAGAACGAGGCTTTAGAACCAGGCTGGCTGGCTGTCGGAACCAGGCTGGCACTGGGAGTTAGAACTAGGCTGGCTGGGCTTGAGGAACCAGGCTGGTGCTGGGTTAGAACGAGGCCGGGGTTCTGGCTCCAGCAAGGCTGTGACTTCGCATAAAACATGGACTCACGCTGCGCTTGCTCCCTCCCGAGCACACAGGGAGCAATCGCCCGACCGAGGAGGCCGTGAGGAGGGGATGAGGGAAGCCCGGGGGCTGGCAGCTGCCCTGTCCTCGCTGTGTTGTTACCGTGGCCTGAGCACCAACTCCCCTGGGCTCTCACCAGGCGCGCCCTCCCGCTGGCATCACACCTGATGCGGCGTCGCCAGGCTGAGCTGCCCCCCACCCCCGGGTGCTCCCTGCAGGGTAAGCACAGAGAGCAGCGTTTCACGGGCTGAGGCGCAGGCAGCTCATGAGCTTCTCGATTTGTTCTTTCCACACACTGCACACATGCCCACGTGGGTGGGAACTTCACAGGGTGACATGCCTGCCCCTAGGAGGGGGCTGTGGGGTGGGGGAAGGAGAGGTGGGCTGTGGGCTCCCATCTCCTCCCGACCACCTCCAGGGCCCTGCGTGGCCTCCAGCGGTGACCATCCTCCAACAGGCGAGTCCCCGCTGACCATCTCAGCCCTAACCCCTCACACCTCCCTCAGTGACGGGGACCTTGGGCCGGGCCCGGGCTCCCCTCTGACCTGGGACACTGTGAGCCGGCGCCCTGCGTGACATGTGACTGATCCTGTGTGTGTGAGTTTCCCTGTCGCTCCCCCACGAAGGGGAGTTGGAGATGCAGCCACTTCATGGGCGTTACCGCCGCCATTTCCCGTGGCTGAAAGGAGGTGCTGGTTTTGCTGGCCGACGAGCGACACAGGGGACTGAGGTCCGACGCCCCGCTTCCTAAGCAGGCGTCCCATCCGCATCTTAGTTACCCCGCCGCGTGAGCCTGCCACGTGGGACACCGTGCCCCCCGCCCCGCACAGGGGGACCGCTCACCATGGCCCGGACGCCGTACTGCTTCTCCACCTTCTCCCGCAGCTGCCGGAAGCAGGCCTCCATGCGCTCGTGGAAGGGCCGCAGGGCCTCGGTGATCTTCTCCCCGTGAATCCGGATCCCTTCGGCCAGGAACGGGATCTGGAAGACGAAGGGGGGACCCTCCTCATTTCCGGCCGCGCCTGGTCCGGGAGAGGCGGGCACGCAAGGCGGGGCTGGCACTTCCACGGGGACCTGCTGTGGCGCCCACGCGGGACGGGCTGGTTAAACGCATTAGCAGGTTTGTCACCCTCAAAGGCCAAAGTGTGGAAATTAAAATCGTCTGCGTTGTGAATCGGCCGCGTCGAGGGCGGGGCTCAGCGCCGAGGGCGCCTGGAGGCCTCCCTTCCCGGACGGAATGCCCACCTGGCGGGCACTGGCCTTGGGGAAGAGCTGCATGCGAGTTTGTTTACATGCAACCTGATCTGTTAGCCACGGGCCATGTCACTGTGCAGAGGTTTTTCTCAGCGAAGAATATTCTATGGCAGGGGTGGGCAAACTTTTTGACTCGAGGGCCACAATGGGTTCTTAAACTGGACCGGAGGGCCGGAACAAAAGCATGGATGGAGTGTTTGTGTGAACTAATATAAATTCAAAGTAAACATCATTACATAAAAGGGTACGGTCTTTTTTTTTTTTTTAGTTTTATTCATTTCAAACGGGCCGGATCCGGCCCGCGGGCCGTAGTTTGCCCACGGCTGTTCTATGGGATACGAGAGCCCAGCTCCGAAACGCAAGCATCTACGATTCTACATCTATGGGATCCATGGTCCTGAAAGACATGCTTTGGAAACGAATCCGCATCTTTTCTTCCTGAAAACTAAAAATAGTCCCTTCGCTGCCAGCACGGCTGTCACACAGTCTCCCGCCAACACTTCCCTTCGGAGCGTGGAGACGCAGGTGACCTTTAAAAGTGCCACCAAGAGACGTTTCCTCCCCAGCACTGACCAGGACCCTCCGGCCGCTGTCGGGGGGAGGGGGGCAGGAAAGGCTCGCTCCCTCCCCGTTCTGCTGCCAACCCCACCCGCCCCTCCCTCGCCGACAGGGAGCTGGACACTCCTCACCGCAATCAGGCGAAGAGGCTTCCTCTTAATAACTTATAATTAAATCAGCGCACTGATTAGAAACAGATTTCCTCGTAGAGCGGAGCACCAACCTCGAGGAGCAGATTTAGAAGATGGGTAATAAGTACACAATTGGATTTCATGTGAACAAATTCTCGAAACCTTGTCAAGACGAATCACGGCCTAACCTGAGCTTGGCTGGCATCGATGCAGGCAGCTGTGGCCCTGTGGCACTCCAGGCACTCCAGGAGGGGGGCTGGGAATGTGTCCCCTACCCGCTCCCCCGCCCCGTGTTTGCAGCCCTCTGGCTGTACCCACACAGTGTGTTTTGCTGACAGTTGGGCCGACCCCAGGTCCCCGCCAGGCACCCGCTTGCCGCGGTGACTGCCAGTGGGACAGTGTGCGGTGGGGTCCCGGCCAGCGGGTGTTTAATATTCCGTGGGAATCGCTCCCGCAGACGGCGGCTTCCCGGCTGCTGCGGTCTGTTCAGGGGCAACAGTAGTAAATGCTGAGGGGAATCCTCTGCTCCCCGAGTCCCCCTCGGGGGCCGGCAGAGGCAGGCTGGGGGCAGCCTGGGCGGCTGGTAGAGGCGGCGTGTCTAGCTGGGTGCGAAGGCCAGCATGGGGGTGTGGCCTGCAGGTTAAAGCACAGCCTCCCTGCACACTGAGAACATTTCGATGGAGCAGGGTCCTTCTGGAATGTGCAAAATGCAACCTAATCCTTTCGGTGTGTCGTGTTGGTTTGATAAAAGCCTGCATTGGGCAGATTCTTGACACCAAAGAAGCTACTTGCTGGACTAACGTTAAGACCATGAACTGCCATCTGGCAGGTGACATTTATGGGGCGTGAAATTTATCCCCCAGGGAGGTGCCTGGCCTGGGTCACCTAGAACCTTCTTCGAGGGCGGGCTCTGCATCACCTGGGGTGGAAGTGCAGCCATGAATCAACACCCTCTCCAACTGCTCAGGCGCTGAACACACGAACAGAGGCCATGGCGCGAGGCCTGGGTGGCCTTCAGAGACCTGTCAATCCAGGGGGATCGACCTGGTGGAGCATCGAGATCTGGGGACAGACTGCTGACCCCCACGTGGGCCCCGATTTGCTCGAGGCCGAGGCCCAGGAACCTGTCTTTCTAAAGAGCCTCCCAGAGAGGGGAGAGCCCCCCTTGTGTTGTTCACACTGAGCGTGAGTACCAGGCAGTGCTGCCCTTGAGGCTGGCCCTGTGTCCCGGCCCCACCTGCTGGCAGCAGGGAGCACTGGGAGGGCAGCTCCGTGCTAGGGGAGCGCCACCCGGGCCACGAAGTCGCACCTGTCACCAGCTGGGGACCACAAGTGAAGCTAGCCTCTCATTTCAAAGAGAAACACGGACGCATCCCAGCGGGTTAATCCGAGTCTGTGTGGGCTCACCTCTGGACAGTGAGCAGGGATGCTCAAGGGGACAGCTGCTCTGGGGAGCGACCCAGCTGGGCCCGTGGGGAGGGGGCTGGCGCTCACAGGCAATTATGAAGCAGCCTGCGCCCGCCTCCAGGCCCACGGAGAGGAGCAGGCCCTGGCACAGAGCCGGGAGCTGCCCGGCATCGATCACCAGCCTTCACCAGCGGTTTTAGGAACGAGGATGTGCCGATGGCGCCCCGGTGGTGGGAACCGTGCCGGCGAGGCCCGGGGATTCCCGGGGGGAAACGCACCCCACCCACACGGAGTCTCAGAAAAAACCAAGCAAGCAAACCAACAAAACCAGCAGCGAACGTTCAGAGAGCCCCACACGTCTTCTTCACGGCTGCGAGGCTCAATTAGGGAGAGGAACACATGGGTTTCCAAAACATTGCAAACGAGAGCGAAATCGCAGGTAATGTCTGAATATGAGTTTCCAGCGCTTTTGATTTAATGAAGTTGCTAGAAAACAGATGCCTCCTTTCAACTCCCCCGCGAGCAGCTCTGAGAGTCATCCTTTAATAAAGTTATGAGGGGCCGTGACACAGTGCTGACACACAGTTCTCTCCGGGGGACAAATTATTTTCCTCTGTAGGACTCGAAACTCTTAAAATCCAATTTGCTGTAAAAGCTCGCAGGGAACAAAAATCAATAGAACTTCTGCAGACCGAACCAGTTTTTGTGTGGCAATGGCTGCATCGCCGCCAGGAGGTCCGGATTGCGCACCCTTTGGCTACAGCAACATCTAAATTGGAATCTTCCAGACACTTCAACTCTCTCCCTGTTTTTAGTAACAGGAAACCACCCACAGGAGGCTTCCATCCCAGGCAGCTTGGCCCAGGAGGTCCCAGCGTTTCTTTCTTCCTTTCTTTCCTTCTGACTTTTTTCTTTTTAAATATATTTTTATTGATTTCACAGAGGAAGGGAGAGGAAGAGAGAGAAACATCAATGATGAGAGAGAAACATGGATCGGCTGCCTCCTGCACTCCCCTTCTAGCCTCCCACTGGGGATCGAGCCTGCGACCAGGGCATGTGCCCTGACCGGGCATCCAACCATGACCTCCTGGTTCATAGGTCGATGCCCAACCACTGAGCCACACTGGCCAGGCCCAACACTTCTTATCAGAGTAATTCCAAGCCAAACAGATGTCAGGTGCATGCGATGTGCGGCACAGTCACTTCTTATCAGAGTAATTCCAAGCCAAACAGATGTCAGTCAGGTGCGTGCGATGTGCGGCACAGTCCCACCCACTAGGGTGGCTTTTCAACACTCGCACACAAACAACAGAAACGGGAAAGCAGCACGTGTTGGGGAGGATGTGGAGCCACAGGGACCCTGTACATGACCGCGGGCGGGATGACAAAATGGTGCAGCTGCTGTGGCAAACCGCCTGGTGGCTCCTCCAAGGAGGGAAAGTAGAGTCAGTGCATCAGCAGCACCCCACTTCTGAGTGCACCCCCCACGCCAGCGAAAGCAGGGAATCGAACAGGTTCACAGCCACGTGATTCACAGTTGCCAACAGGTGGGAACAACCCAGTGTCCCTCGGTGAGTGAACGATTAATAATGTGGTTTATAGACACAACGGAATGTTACTCAGCCTCAAAAAGGAAGTGCGTTCTGACGCGTCACAACATAGATGAACTCGGAGACACACTGCTAAGTGAAATAAGCCAGGCGCAGAGGGACGGATGCTGTGTGATCCCACTTATGTGAGGCTCCGCGAGTAGGGGAGTTCATAGGGACAGAAAGGAGAAGGGGGCGCCGGGGGCAGGAAGAATGGGGAGCTGTTTAGTGGGGACAGAGTTTTAGTTTTGCAAGACGGAGAGTCCCGGAGATGCTGGTGTGATGGTCGCACCACAGTGCGGGTGTACGTAATGCCACTGAACTGTGCATTAAAATGGTTAAAGTGATAAAGTGTGTGCTCTGTAAATTTGACCACAGTCAAATATAACATAAGCCCACTCCACCCTAAGAGGCCACACTAGCTAATGGGCTGATGATAGAGGAGCCACGCAGGTGAGGCTCGGACTGGCCAGGACAGAGGGGTCCCCAGAGGTGTCTCCTCAGGAGGAGCCGACCGTGTCAGGGACCCAGTGTCGGCTTGGGAGCCTCGCTTAGCAAGGCGGCCAGGGGAGCCACGCCCGGCCGGGCGCACAGAGACCTGGGCTCCCTGACATTGCCCCAGCCTGAGCTCTGCACCCAGCCAGCTGTGGGTTACACCAGCCAGCACCCTGCTCGCCGCCCACGAGAGAAAACAGCCGCAAGAAGCGAGCTGCCCAAAGTGGGCAGAGCAGGTGGGCAGAGCTCCCAGGAGAACCGCCCCTCTGAGGAAAGACTCGGAGGTCTCAGGAGCATGAGTAGAAAAGCAAAGCAATGAGCCGCATTGGAGTTGGGAAACGCAGATGTGACACCCCCCGCCCCTCGCGCCCCGCAAGGCTGCGTTCCCACACTCACCTGCCACGCGATCAGGTCCTTGAGCTTCTCGATCTTCTCGTGCGCCTCCGGGTGCTCCTGCAGGTACCGCTCCGTGAAGAAGGCCTGGAGGGGCGGGAGCCACTCAGTACCCCCAGCACCCACCATGCGCTCTGCACACCTACTGTGGGCCGGGCCCCGGGGACAGAGCTGTGGGTAAAACACACTCACACTCCTGGATTCACAGGGACGGGGGCGGCTTGTGGTGGGAACGCCAGGGCCAGACCATACCGCTGTCGGTCAACCCTGCCCACTCCCATCGAGATGCTTCCCGGGGGCCAGCTGGCCCTCTCCACGGAGCCGCCCTGACAGACTTGATCCTGTGGCCTCAGTGGTCCCAGGGCTCATGAAAGCCACGGGGGTCCCTCTTAGAGCCAACCTGGGGGGACCGTGCCCCGCCCAGGCCTGGCCATGGCAGGCCCTTGACCGTCTCCAGCCTGCAGGGGCTGCCCGGGCCTCCTGGCCTGGCCTTAGGCTGCACGGGAGACCAGGGTGGGCTGTCCCTGGACAGGGCTGTGGAGAGCTGGCGGGCCACCTGCCTTTTCGTAGTTGGTGAAGCCGCCCATGACGGCCGGGTCCACGATGCCGGTGAGGAACATGGAGAGGGGGTTGATGGGCAGGCTGGGGTCCTCCAGGTGCTGCTGCACCATGCTGTCCAGCTTGTCGTTGGTCAACTGCATGGTCTCGATGGCGTTCTCCAGGGGGCTGATCTCCACCTGCGGGGGCAGCACAGGCGTCGGGCCGGCTGCTTCCACGCCCATCGCCGGTCCAGCCAGGAAAAGAGGGTTCCATGTGCTCTAGAACCACATCTGGATTTTCAAGGGGATTCGCTGGAAACTAAATGGCAGCCAACGCCATCCGGCTAAGACCCTGCCAGGGGACGGCAGACAGGAGACACTACAAAACGGGCATCTTTCAACCGGACCGCATATGCAGGCTATCGCTGCTGCCACGAGTTCACGGGGAGCCTGTGGCCGACGGGTCCCTAAGGAAACTGCCCCACAGCGCTCCGCAGGCAAAGCAGGGTTAGCTAATGAGATGCAAGTCTTTATTTCTTTAAAAGGTGCTGGGGAGGCGCCCGGCCGGTGTGGCTCAGTGGTTGAGCATCTTCCCATGTACCAGGAGGTCACTGGTTCCATTCCGGGTCAGGGCACATGCTCTATCCCCAGTCGGGGGCGTGCAGGAGGCAGCCGATGCATGATGCTCTCTCATCACTGATATTTCTCTTTCTCGCTCCCTCTCTCTCCCTCTCTCTGAAATTAATAAAAGAACATTTTTTTCTTTAAAGTGCCAGGGAGGAGTAGCAAGCTATCTTGGCTTGAAATGAGCAAGTGCTATTAATCAAGGTGTTTGTCATGCAAATAGCGATGAAATCATAGGAAGGAGCTGGGAAAGCCCTATGCAAATGGGGCCTGGCCCTAAGCTCTCCGGTAGCTAAGTGGAGGGGCTGTCAGACCATGGGGAGGGCTGGCGCACTACCTCCTGGGAGGCATGAAGCTCAGTCTCCATTTCCCATAAGCTCCACCAGCTGTGCTCACCCATCTCACTAGGACAGCGGTTCTCAACCTGTGGGTCTCGACCCCTTTGGGGGTCGAACGACCCTTTCACAGGGGTCGCCTAAGACCATCGGAAAACACATCTATAATTACATATTGTTTTTGTGATTAATCACTATGCTTTAATGATGTTCAATTTGTAACAATGAAAATACATCCTGCATATCAGATATTGACATGACGATTCATAACAGTAGCAAAATTACAGTTATGAAGTAGCAACGAAAATAATTTTATGGTTGGGGGTCACCACAACATGAGGAACTGTACTAAAGGGTCGCGGCATTAGGAAGGTTGAGAACCACTGCCCTAGGAGGTTCGAGGATGAAGAGACGGGGGAGGGAGGGTGTGATGTCAGGCTCAGTCTGTCTGATCTGGGGGCGGCATGCGCACTGGGCAGTGACCACACAGCACACGTCGGGAAGCGTGAGCGAGGGCCACGACAGTCCCTCCCGGGCGTGTCCTTACCATGAAAACGGACTTGACCTCAAACCACCTGAGAATTCCAGGCAGCTTGTACGCGGTCGTGTAGACGGTCCTCTCGATCCACATGTTCTGCGAAGGGAACACACGCCCGTGAGCAGGGTCAGCAGCTCGGCGGCTTCTGCCCCAGGGGGACTTCCGGCCCTCGCAAGGCCAGCCCCCAGGACGGGGTCCCCTGGGAGGGAGGAAGCTCGGGGAAATGAGGGGGTTCCCTCGGAGCAAACGGGTTTCTGGAAAGGCTGCCGTGAGTGAGGCCCGGGCCTTACTGAGCCGTCACATCAAGGAATCTCAAAGGCACGTGAATTGAGGACAAGGGGGCTTCGTTAAAGTGACTCTCACATAATAACAAAACCAGTGCTTTAAGCTTTAATATTTCCACATAACCAGCACATGTTTACGTTCTAAAATAAAGATATGCTCAGACACGGTCACTTACACGTTCACTAAGCATTGAAAAGTGTGTACAGTTTCAATAAAAACACCACTTTACAATCTACATGTTTTGTAAAGGCTGCCTTACATATGGGAGGCAATTGTTTCAAGCCAACAAACACAACTCCTTCACCCCACCTCCTGCGCTGTCACCTCCCTGCACCTGGGACGGGTGCTCCCTGAGCGGCTGAGTCTGTGCACAGTGACCCTGATACAGACACAGGGCACAATGGAGGCACCTGTGCCGGGACCCCGGTCCGGATGAGGCGGCTCGGACACACCCAGGAGGAGGCACCTGTGTGCTGTGAACTCAGACACTTTCACAGCCCGTCACCTGTCACAGCCTCCTGGGGACCTGGGACATCGTCTGAGACGCCATTGTCTATGTTTGAGGGGCGCTATGCTAGGGTGTCTGCACGGTGGGGCCTTCGAGGCTGTACTATCCCACAGGCCGTTTGGTTGGTTGGGGGTGGAATGAGCTTTAGGGGTGTGTGTGTGTGTGTGTGTGTGTGTGTGTGTGTGTGTTTACCGCAAATTCATTGTCTGGGTCTTTCTCTCCCTTTCGGACCGGCCGAGAATATTCAAATCGCTGGACCTCGTTCACCCTGTAAAAGCTGCAGAGAGAGAAATCATTAGGCATTTAACCCCCAAAGCAGTCGATTTCCTTTGCGAGGCGAGGCCGTGCCTCCCAACGGGTCACCTGTTCCCTAAAATATCCCTGACCTTGACCAGAGGCGCTAGCTGAGCCTCTCTCCCCCCACCCGCAGCTTCGACGCGGACGTTGGCAGGTGGAAAAATGAGCTGGAGCTGCCTCCTCCCCGTCCCCCAAACCCTCAGGGAGACCAGATGCAGAGTGACAGAGAGACGCCCAGCGGCGAAGGTGACTCGGAGGAGAGGGAAAGGCCCGCCGCCGCCACGCGTGTGCTGGTTACGTAAAACTGTCAATTAATAATGGATCCCTTTAACTTAGTCTTTCAACAACGAACTTCTTAGAATAATTTCACTTAATACTTTATCATTTTGAAAATAAAAAACGACATCTTTATTATTTTTGAACAGGTCTTACATGCTTTACTAGTAGTTTCAGATCTACACACGGCAGATCTGCAACCACCAAGAGTGGCATGGACAGGACCAGCGTGCCCCCCTCCCCTGGGGTGGGGGGGACCCCTGCACTGAACGCAGGTGGGCTCCCCACGTCGGAGGGAAATATCTGAGCCTATACTACGGTTCACTCTTTGCTTTATGTCTCTGAGAAGAAAATGTCGCGCCACTTAAAACGCATGCCTTGTGGACGCTACCATTTGCAATCAGCAGAATCCCAGTTTATTTGTCGATACTGCTGACAAGAGGTTAAGGATGGGAGTGAACCCACCCAACCTCAGGCTACGAGGTAAGAGATCCTGAGCACTGACAAGCCATCCGATAGGTTAGTTTTTTGTTTGTTTGTTTTTTCACCAGAACATGGATCAAATGGAAAAGAACATTCTTAACATCAAAGAAACATCGGAAGCAGGCTGTGTCCACAGCATTGCTGAGCCAGGTACAACTCAGAGAGGCGTAAAATCTCACTCAAATTCGGATGCCTGCCCTGTGAGTTTTGAGACCTGCCTCACAATCCCACGTTACGTGATCGCTGGGTGTAGTTCCCCACGGGGAGCGCGCCTGGGACTCCCTCTTCCTGCCTCGCAGAAGGCACACTCGGCCACACCCAGGCACGGGGCACTGCTGAACACTTCCCAGGATCCTCTGCCCGGGGGGTCGTCAGCAGACCAGGTGTCCCCTCCCCGTCCTGTTTCCCTGGCCTGCCGACCTCTGACCCCTGGAAAGGAATAACCCGGCACCCTCCCAGCCTTGAGTGTCGACTTCTGCCTCCACGTCCTTTACAGTTGTGTGATGTGCGCAGGCCCACTGAACGTGGATTCTTTTCCGTAATCAGGTGGCTGCTTGAGGGCTGACTGTGCGCATCCGTCTACACCGCGGTATGGAGAGGACCTGAGCAGGGGGTCCTGGAACCAACGCCCCCAGATGCCAAGGGACAAGGAAGGTTTGTGGTTGGCAGAAGCTATACAAAGGCTTTTGGGCCGTGGCAGAGGGTGCCCCTAACCCAGGCGTTGTTCGTGGGTCAACTGGACCTCCTGCACTGCACCCCACTTCCTTCTTGATGCTGAAAGGAATCTGCTCCCCTTCGCCGAGGCGAAGCCCAGCCTTTCCCAGTGACATGGCCGATGAGAGCTGTACGTCCCCTCCCGCCCTCGTCCCGGCAGGAAAGCGGGTGGCTTACTTCACGATCTGCTCCGAGACTGGCCTGTGGAATTTCGGGGGCAGGTCCAGCTTGGGCTTCACCGTGAAGCACTGGATATCTGAGGGTGAGGAGGTCAAGGATCACCCTCCCGGGGAGACAGCCCCAAGACCCCAGCCCTCCCCCTACCGGCCTGGCGCTGTGTAAGGATACACTGGCCGGGGGAGCTTTTGATCTCCTCGCTGGGCGGGGACGTTGTCTTCATTTTCTCGGCGTTTGGGAACTGAGTTAAGAGCCGAGCCTCAAAGTCTTCCCGGCGTTCGTACTCCTTCCCCCGGTAGATGAAAACTTTGCCCTGGAAACGGTGACATTCATTAAGTACCGGGAGGGGTGGGGGGGAGGGCTTGGGACAAGTTCACACACGAGGGTCCTACCCGTCTCATTTAAAGGAAAAGGCTCTGCCCTGGCCGGCGTGGCTCAGGGGTTGAGCGTCGACCTATGAACCAGGAGGTCATGGTTCAATTCCCGGTCAGGGCACATGCCCGGGTTGCAGGCTCGATCCCCAGTGGGGGGCGTGCAGGAGGCAGCCGATCCATGATTCTTATCACTGATATTTCTCTCTCTCTCTCTCCCTCTCCCTTCCTCTCTGACATCAATAAAAGTGTTTAAAAAAAAGAAAGAAAGAAAAAGGCACTGACCGTGTAATTGCATGGTCTTACCCAGCAAGAGCCCAGAACCAGGGCCGCGTGAATTAACCCTGCGTCCTCAGCACCGAGCACAGGGCACTGAACTCAGGTCACGTGCTGCAGGCTTCGCAGTAACAACCAGTTTACAGAACCGTGAAAAACCCAGTGCACAACCTCCTCCAGGGGGCGGGACGCGGTTAGAAAGGGAAACCCAGCACCAGGGCCAGGGGGTCATGGTGTCTCACACACGGGGCGGGGCCAAGAGGGACACAGCTGTGAATATGTGAGACACAAGTTTATTCTGGTGACCTTGGGGGAGGGGTGTAAAAAGGTCTGTATGACCTTGGGGAGGTATAAGCAGGTCTGTGTGACCTTGGGGAGGTGTTAAAGTGGTCTGTGACCTTGGGGTGCAAGCAGGTCTGTGTGACCTTGGGGAGGTGTTAAGGTGGCCTGTGACCTTGGGGGGCAAGCAGGTCTGTGTGACCTTGGGGAGGTGTTAAGGTGGCTGACCTTGGGGAGGTGTAAGCAGGTCTGTGTGACCTTGGGGGTATAAGGTATGTGTGACCTTGGGGAGGTGTAAGCAGGTCTGTGTGACCTTGGGGTATAAGGTCTGCGTGACTTTGGGGGTATAAGGTCTGTGTGACCTTGGGGGGTGCAAGCAGGTCTGTGTGACCTTGGGGGTATAAGGTATGTGTGACCTTGGGGAGGAGTAAGCAGGTCTGTGTGACCTTGGGGGTATAAGGTCTGCATGACCTTGGGGAGGTGTAAGCAGGTCTGTGTGACCTTGGGGGGTGTGTGAGCAGGTCTGCGTCTTGCCTTACACAGGCTGTCTTGTTGGGGCCATTTCTGCCTGCGTGTGACACAGCCACTCTGTCAATGTATCTGTAAGGAAGGTCCTGACTCCAAGATGTACCGGGGCTCAGGGCCTTCGCGGCTGAGTGTCAGTCACACGAAGGTGGCAGTGGGCAGACAGTGTGATGCCACCATTGGGCCCTGGCCTGCTGCCTCCCCCCACCCCTCCTGCCCCATCTCAGAGCTGTGAACCCAGAGGAGACTGCGCCCAGGCGAAGGCAGCGAGAGAGGCCCGGGGCCTCAGTCACGTGGCATCTCTCGCTGGTTCAGCCTGGGGGGTCTGGGCAAGGGGCTCCAGGCAGCTGGTCCCACGTCAGCTGCAGCCCTGCCATTGGCCGTGACCCTGAACAGATGGCAGAGAGGAGGAGGGGAGAGACAGGCGGACGGACCGAGAGCAGCAGCCCACTGCATGTTTTTACATGTAGCTCCCTGAGACTCGGCTCCAGGTCACATTAAAATGGGTCTAATTAGTGAATTTTCAAAAGATAAAGAGAGATCTCCTGGTATGCGCTTTATCTCCTTCCCTAGTCTCAACTTACCCGCTGCTCCTGTAAATCATTAAAGAAGGAGCAGTTGAAGAATTGAACATTTTATTCACTTTGTGCTGAGGTCTGTCATAAAGGACCCGTTATAGACGAAAAACGCTCTCTCTAAAAACAAAATGTCACGCGGAAACCAAAGGAATATGTAGTCTTCGTCGGAAATGTAAGTATGTGCGTGGACATCTCGAAAGGCTGGATAAAGCCACACACCTCAGAAGCTCGGGGAGCTTTAACGTGGAACAGGTCCTATGAAACGAGCGGGGATTTATCAGGCTTCGCACCAGAAGGAAGACTTAATAATAAAAAAACATATCAAGGCTCTAACAGAAAAACAGTGGTGAGTTGTAGGTGAAAACATTGATAACATTTTCTAGAAACGCCACTTATTTTGCATTCTGTCGAGGGCCCTTCACACATGAAAACACGGGGACATTACAGATCAAGTTCGTCGTTCCTCGCGAGGAACATAAATACGAACCGGGTTACAAAAATGAGATAAATTCCTGCAGAAAACGTCAGTTCCAGAGGCAGCCGCCCGGCCCTGCCTTCAGTCTCCCGTTTCTGTAACAACTGCTCATGTCATTGCCAGATGCCCCCGGGCAGGTGACCTGGTAGGCGGGTGAATACATCGCCACAGCCCCGCAGGATGACTGCAATTCACACTTTGCACGTGCCCTTCCGCGTGGGAAGGGCTCTAGAACATCGACCTCACCCTCAGGAACGTGGGGAATCCCTGTCCGTAGTAGCCGACAGCGAAGTAGTCCGGCTTGGGTCTGATCACCTTGACGATGTTTTCGTAGAACTGAGCTTGTTTTTTCTGAAAGGAAGCAGAAACTGCGTTTCGGGTCTGAACAGAGCATGTGGGGGTCTGTTCCGGATGCCTGCAGCGGGCTCCTCGGGCCTTGGCAGTGCCGGAAGGGCAGGTGAGGGCCATGAAGCCGCCCCCGAGTTGAGCTCACCACCCCGGCTGAGGGCTGACGGCCTTTCTCACTGACCGTCCGCATTCCCAGGGAAATCTGACCCAAACCCAACATTCAGCAACCGGTGTTCTCAACAACCACATAACAGGTGTTTGTCTTTTGATTAAACGGCTGGTCTTTAGTATTTTTTAAAAATATACATATATTTTTATTTCAGAGAGGAAGGGAGAAGGGAGAAAGAGATATAAACATCAATGATGATAGAGAATCATTGATGGGCAGCCTCCTGCTTGCCCCACACTGGGGATGGAGCCCACAACCCGGGCCTGTGCCCTGACCGGGAATCCAACCCTGACCTCCTGGTTCACAGGTTTATGCTCAACCCCTGAGCCATTCTGGCCGGGCTGGTCTTTAGGATTTTAAAAATGGCGTTGATCAGATACTGGGACACATTAAAGAAGGATTTAACAGGGCAGAATTCAGTGGGTGCCGTGGTTCGAGAAGGCAGGAGGGAGGAACTGACAGCTTCGGTGGCAAGAGAAAGGTCCGGGCTGCTCTCCACCCGCCCCGTCGGGGCTCCTGTGCGCCCGGGGTCAGCCCTGTTCACATGTAAACCCTCCATGGGAGCCCGAGAGCTTGGTACCTGAGGGCCAGGAGCAGCCGGACACAGGGACACGGGTGGGACGCTGCCCGAGGCCACGGGAGAATCCCCATGTGGAAAGGGAGAGGGAAATGCCAGGAAAGTACGTCCAGGTGGTCCGGGACCCTTTATGTAGGAAGAAGGAAGGACCTACCAGCAGTTTGCTGAGCTGCTCATAATCAAACATTTCGTTTTCGTACTGTTCGGCCAGCTCCTTGCCCAGGGCGATGGCCTCCTCCCACATCTGCGAGGAAAAGGGAGAGAGAAACCCAAACCTGAATCGTGTGGTCAGAGCATAACACAGTGACACACCCGTTCCTGGGAACACAAGTTGGAAATCAGCTTAAGTCAAAATACGACGAGGGGAATGTCGGAAAAGACCAGCAGTTCCAGAGGTTCGTGTCTTCTGGCCGCAACCGGCATCCGCTGAGCACCCTGCGGCCTCTGCCCACCGTCCTGCTGACCTGCGTGGCCACCAGCCCATCTGCGTGGTCAGCGGAGGAGCCGGGGAGGGGGACCGCAGGGCGAGGACAGGCTGTGGCGAGCCTGATTTTGCTGCTTTCCCCAATCGTCCCGTTTCATAAACGCTCTGTCTCAATGGTCAGAAAGACTAGACCAGTGATGGCGAACCCATAACACCTCTGACACGCGAACTCATTTTTTTGGTTGATTTTTCTTTGTTAAATGGCATTTAAATATGTAAAATAAATGTCAAAAATATGTTTCATGAACAGAACAGAAGGCTGTTGGCTTAGAATCAGGAAGGGCCCCACCATCCCAAATCCGGGGTCCTCAGGCATCAATCGCCTACTTCTCCGCCCAATGGCCGCAGACGGAGCACGGATCCTCGGGGCGAGTGATCTCCTGCATCCGCGAGGTCCATTCTCTCGTGTAAGTCCTGCACCCGGGCAGGGTGGGTCTCTTGATTATACCCATTTTGCAGATAAGGAAGTTGAGGGTCGAACGCGTAAGGGCACAGGGCGGGTAGACTGGGCCCAGCTTGGTCTTCTCCTCAGTTCCTGTTCATGATGACTGTGACTTTGAGCTGCTATAAAAAACACCACAGACGGCGGCTTCCCCACAGCACAATTCCTTGCTCACGGTTCTGGAGCTGGAATCCGAGACCAAGGTGCGGGCGATTCGGTTCTCAGTGAGGACTCCCCTCCCGCGGTGCAGACAGCTGCCTCCTCGCTGGGCGCCCCGTGGCCCTGAGCTCGCTCTCTTCCTCCTGGATCAGCACTTAATCCTTCAGGGGCCCGTCCTAGTCATGACCCTGTCTAGACAGAGTCCCTCCCAAAGGCCCGACCTCCTGACGCCATCACCTGGTGGCTGGGGCTGCAACATCTGAATTGGGGTGGGCTGGGGGGGGTGCACACATTCAGCCCTAACACGGACCACGGGGGGCACCTGCAGCTGCCCCAACCCTCCTGCTGGGACGGGTGTGAAAGGTAAGTCCACTGAGAACATAGGCTGCCAAGCCCCACACCTGGCATTCCCTGGGCACTGCTGAGCCCCACACCTGGCATTCCCCGGGCACCGACCCCTCACCCGCCGGCCAGTCGTTGCCTTTCCTTAGTACAGTGGTCAGCAAACTCATTAGTCAACAGAGCCAAATATCAACAGTACAACGACTGAAATTTCTTTTGAGAGCCAAATTTTCTAAACTTAAACTATATAGGTAGGTACATCGTTATTAACTTAATTAGGGTACTCCTAAGGCTTAGGAAGAGCCACACTCAAGGGGCCAAAGAGCCACATGTGGCTCTCGAGCCGCAGTTTGCCGACTACGGCCTTAGTAGAATGACCCCACCCAGGGCCTTCCTTACTACTGAGTCACCCAAGGGACTTAAAATACGTTTCACACAGCCACGGCCTACAGAAACCATCTGCTGTTTTTGCTGAGAAAAGAGCTATTCCGATAAGAGTTGCATGTTAGCGCTTGGAAAGACAAAATGAAAATAAGCCCGGAGTGGAAAACGATTTCGGGGAAGAAAGCGGCGGCGAAGTGCTTCCCACAGAGGACACACTTGCCCCTCCCAGCACCGCCCACCGCCCACCCCGCCGCCTCCTTCCTGCTCAGGTGTCCAAGCCGCGGGCACCCTGCCCATCTCTTCACCGGCTGGCGGATCTTCTCGGGCCTCCCGGGGCCCAGCCGCATTTCCGGGGGGAGCGCCTCTCCTTGCCATGCTTCCTCCAGGCGCCTGCGTGTTTCCACTTCCAGGAAACCGATTCCCTCACCTGGCGCTCTCTGTCCGGACTTCGCTTTTCTGCACACTCCCTCACCCCTCAGCCGCCCAGAGCCTGAGGGCTGCCCGTTCCCTGCCTAACGTGTTCTGGCCCTAAATGACGGATGAGATGCTTCAGACACATATCAAAGCCATTGTGTTTAAAGCAAGTCTTTTTAAAAAAATATATTTTTATTGATGTCAGAGAGGAAGGGGGAAGGACAGAGAGAGACAGAAACATCGATGATGAGAGAGAATCATGGACCGGCTGCCTCCTGCACACCCCCCACTGGGGATGGAGCCTGAAACCCGGGCCTGTGCCCTGACCGGGAATCGAACTGTGACCCCCTGGTTCATCGGTCGATGCTCAACCACTGAGCCACACTGGCCAGGCAAAAGCATGTATGTTTTGAATAAATATCTTATCCAACTCCTCCTGAGGTTTCCTGGTTGTGTTTTCTGTCAGATTTTCTATACACACACCCACCCTCCACCCAGCCTCGGTGAAAGGGCTCTGCATGGAGATTTCCACCCGCCTTTGGGGAGCATGGGGCACTCCCTTTTCCAACGTGAAAACCTCGAGGAACAGTCTGAGCCAGAGAGAACCCAGGTTCAGTACGATCCCCACGTAGTTTATCTCGGCGAGGAGATCGCGTCAACTTGTGCGACTGAATGGCCGGCCTGGCTCGAAGGGCTCTGGGCTCTGCGGCTCCCATCTCCACGCACAACTCCATTTTCTGGTGTGAAATCCTTAATCCGCCGGGAGCATTCTTGACATTGTGCGTTCACTGGCCACCCCGTGTGGGGGAGCGAGGAGGGTGCTGACTCTGAAAACGGGTTTTCTCCTGCTTCCGTTGTAAATGGTTGCTTTTCACAGGAGCAGATCGTCACGGACGCTCAGGCCGAGTCCTGGGTGATGGAACAGATCCTGGAGAGTATTAGGATTATTCTAAAATGTAGGAAATGCTGGCATGAACCCCAGAGAGAGTGTCATTACATTTGTACCTGCAACTCCTCTTAGTCACCACCGTGGTTTTCAAGGGTGAAACTCACAGGATGAGGACACTCCACCCCCAATTCTTAGAAAAAGAAGGCCAAGCACTTCACCAAAAACAGCAACTGGCTCCCAAACCCCTATTTTTGGTTCACGAGATGACGCAAGATGCCTCGTTCCTCGACTTGGGCACGAGGCAAAGAGCGGCTGTCAGGGCGAGGCTATTTTAAGAGGGGAAAACAGAGCTGGGGTCGGAAATAGTCACGGCTTCCCACGTCACGTGGGCTGCCAAGCAAGCGCCCCTCTGCGGCCGCTGCCCGGGGCTCCGGGTTCCCAG